GACAAACTACACTTAAAAAAATAAAAATACAATTGTTTCATTTTGTGTCCCTTAAAGTAATCAATGCTATAGGAGACATAAACCTACCACACTCAATAATCACTCAGCTTCTATTATTATTACTATTGCATAAAGGCAAGCAAGTAATTCAAGTTCAGAGAATACTAAAAATGAAAGATTGGAGTAAACTCCTTTCTTCCTACTCAAACATGGTTATTATTCTAACTTCTAAAACAGAGTTATCACTCTCTCAGCTTCTGAATCCATTCTCAACTCTTGGAACTGTAAATAAGGAATTTGAAATGAACTGTTCCACTATTTATTATTTGTTTTCAGCTCACTAAAACTTTGGAAGGTCCCCAAAGTACCATCAAAACCCAGATCTGTTAAGAGTTAAGGGAATTTCCCTGTGTATTGGCATGAATAATAAAACAAGAAGTACGGTACAGTTTTGCCGTATAAGTTTTTCCAAGAAGAAAAAACAACAGAACAACATGAGACCGAATTAACTTGTGCCCCGGACACCTAAGATACATACACGACCTTAGTACAACCTCACAAATGTTCTAATACAATTTATTTTCATAAAAAATTAAAATATTCCATGTTTTAAGCTGAAAGAGGAGACAAATAATTCAAAGTATTCCCTTCTGTCAAAGGTATTATTTTCAAAACTTTTTTTTTTTTTGGCAGAACCAGGGATTGAACCTTGTGCTTGACAGGGAAGTGCTTATTGCACTGAGCCATCTCCCTGGCACCCCAAAACTTGTTTTTAGGGATTTGGGATGGCATGAAGCTTTATTTCCATCTAGTGTTTTCTCATTTCAAGCCAATTTTGAATTAACACTGCAAATTATATCATAATGTGAAAATGACCAATTGATTATGTCCTTTTTACCTGTAAATTCCTATGGAGATTTTACAATCTTGAACCAAGGGCCTCACACATGCTAAATAAGGGTGCTACCACTGAAATACCTCCCAGCCGGTACAGAGATTACTCTGTGAGTGTGCAGAGGGCGCTGGGCAATGTCTACGTGGTCTTAGGTCTGTGTCTCTGAACACCTGGGCAGCTCTCAGTACAGCACTCCTTTAGAAGTTTGGAACAAATCATTGGTTCTCCACATGTGCTCCCCCAGCCGGCAGCAGCAACATCATCTGAACATTTCTTAGAAATAAAAATCATGAGATTTGATCCTAGATCCAATGAAAAGGAAACTGAAGGAGGGCCTAGCAACACGTGATGAACTTCAAGTAACTCTGATATCAAGTTTTAGAACCTCTGAACTACATGATCCCTAAAGCCTTCTCAAACCATCAAATCCTACTAGGACTAGATCAAACACCTCATCTACCATGAGCGCCATGTTTTACTGAATGCATTCAATCATCTCAGCAGTCTTAACCAAGAATAGCACCTCTGTTAGTACATTTAAAAATTTGCATTTTCATAAAGATAAAATGTGTTAGCAAGCTTTTTATAATTAAGCAGAAACTGTGACAAATGTTTGATATCATATTAAGTAACAGTGGTAATTTCCACATTAAATCTTGCTTCCTTTCACATGTATAATGTAACAATTTATTCTGGCTGCTGTAAAAAATAAGTATGCTTTTTGACAGTAAAGGTGCAGACATTTTGCATTTATTTCACATGATCAATTACTATGCAGAGTTTTTTTCTCACTTCTCTTCCTGGCAGTGACAAATACAGGGATATTATTCAAAAGGTTGTGTTATACCAGAACTACAGTTCAAACCTATAAGGCATTGGAGGATTTCACCCACAGGAAATATTTGATCAGAAAACATGAAGTCTCATATATTAAAGGAATTCTAATCTGAACAGAGCTCGTTCCAAATGTGATTTAATGAAGTCTATTTCCACAGTTAACAACATGGAAATTGTTTTATCTAAGAACCGCAACTCTCAAACCTGGAAGTGTTAGACTTGAGATGAAACCTTCACTTTCCTGAGGTTATTACCAAAGAAGAAAAAAAAATCCTTTGAAATGACACAAAACTAGGATTAAATGTCACAGACCAAATGTTAAAAAAACAGCAGGGGTCAAGTTTTAACAGTCAGGTTTTGCCTCCAAGAAGCTTCAGCTTCTTTTCCCGCCCAATTTGTTTTGACAGGTGATTGCCTCCGACACCGCCCTCCCTGACTCACTTCCTTTACCATTCTTAACTCACCCCAATTTCTTCACTTAAACAAATGCTGTTATCTTTTCCCACAATACTAGAAAGGTTCTTCCAGCCAAATCCACTGACACTCTTAAAACATTTTTTTCTTAAATAAAAGGAATGTCTCCAGTATCAATTTTGTCAAGAAATGGTGAATGACACCCCTATTTTGCAACTATTTTCTTGTCCCAGGTACATATGAAATTGCTATAATTAAGAATCAAAAAGGCATTTGTTATAGTACTTAGTAAAGACATTAAAATCTGCTTTGTTATCCTACACCTACAAAGAATTTCGTTCTGAAAGTGACTAAAGCTTGTACGTGATATAGCATACAGCAGTCTACTTCATTTCCAATTTTCTACTTTCAGATAGTTCCTGACAGGAGTACATACATTCTTAAATTAACTGTATATTTGGCAGCATTTTGGTCAAAAGGCTTCCAAGTAATAAAAAATTAACAAACACCTTTTCAAAGAAATCCATCAGACAGTAATTGAGATATCTTCAAACTTTCAACATTTTATACCTACTTAAGCCACTAAATTTACTCAAATGCCAGAATCAATCTTTACAAAGGCATATAGTCAAGAAATTCCCTCAATTTCTATATTTAAAATATTTATGATACTGTGTTTAAGTGTGAAATGAGAATGGCAAATAATGGCACTAGGATCATTACAGGCAAAAATTGGTCATTCTCACACTGGAATACTGAAATGCCTCCTGGGAAAAAAACTTATGTTAAGGCAAGCTATGTTAATGCAGCTCAAAGAAACTGTGACGGTAATTTCTTTTGGCTTTGCCAAGGGAGTAAGTCCCTTTGTCAGACTTCAGTTACACTTCATAAACATAAGATGTATCAAGTACTCTTATATACAACTCAAGGATGCTGAGGCAGGCGAATCCCAAGTTCCAGCCCCGCTGAGCAACTTAGGAATTTAGTGAGACCCTGTCTCAAGCCGAAAAATTAAAAAAGGGCTGGGGATATAACTCAGTGTGAAGGTCCTGGGTTCAGTACCCAGTACTGCAAATACACACACACACACACATAACACACACACAATGTTGCTCATATTCAGTACTAAAGACATCATTAAAAAAGAAATAAATAGAAAAGCTCACACTGCCTCCTACTGTTAGGAGGAAAATTCATAAGGTGAAATTATGGTTCACAAACAGCAGAGTGTGAAGTCTTAACTTTTTTTTTTTAATAATCTAACAATGTTTCCAGATGAAAACCTTGAAAAGGTTGGAATACTGTTTATAAGCTCTACAGACACACTGCAAAACACACTACATGGTATGACTTCAGAATTAAAACTCTGCTTCCCATACTTTAGATTTGACGTGTGACATATACAACTAAAAACCAAAAAGTACCACCCTGCTTTGCCAGATGGATGGTTACTTTCCTAGATCTAAGGCAGTGTTAAAGGTTGGTTTTTACCTTTCCCCACTTCCAGTTGAATACACAGCTCCATGTCAGCACAGCAGAATCAAAATACATCTCATCTTGCAGTCAAGACAGTATAGTCATACCCAGGCCTTCAGACACTGAGGACTTTCTATTTAAGAAGTTGAAAATGTTACCCAACCTGTCACTGAGATATGTCTTCAAAATCTGACAACTCTCTAAGGACGTCATTCACCTGTCCCTATCCACTTCAGCCATGACACTATTATTACTGACACTGAAAACCAACCACTGAATATGAAATATAGAAACACAAGCAATTGTTCTGGGGTCGTTTCTTTAAAAATGGCATTGTATTAAAAGTCTGAAAATGAAGAGACAATGATTAAAAGAGTGGAATTAAAAATTACAATCAGAATTCTCTTGACACATACAATGGTGAAATCTTGCTCTTTGCTTCTGGAGAAACACCCTTTGAGAGAGTGAAACATTTAAAAAGTAACATAAAAGGGGAACTAAATACCTGAAATTTAAACAAAATGAAGGTAAAAAAAGAAAAAAAAATCGCAAAATATGGACATTTTAAATGATAAAGAAATTCACTAAACAACAGGCCCCATTGTCCTGGCTCCTTCAGGAAGATCACTGAAAGGAAGCTGGGAAGGGGTCTGGGGGACAGCAGATTCTGGATACGGAGGAAGCATCACAGGCTGGCACCGGCTGGAACAGCTGAGTTTTGAAGGCACTCTGCAGACACAGGGGTGCTGGGGGCCCTGAATCACATTTACAAAGTCTTTGTATTATATTTTTAAAAGCTAGTCCTTAAAATTCTGTTACTACCAACCAAAAGGAAAAAAAAAGCTGAATTTAAAACACACACACAATAGTACACACAAAATTGTGCAGAATCTGTAACTTTTTTTTTCACAGCTGATAAAAAAAAATACTACCATTCTCCCCAGACTCCCCTTTGATACAGTAGGTAAACAAAATAGATTTTTTTTCCACAAATATCAGCAGACACTTTCTGGCACCCCACACTGTATTGGCATCAGTGTTAACAGTCCCAGTTCAGATGTGCAATACTTCAGATCGGATATACTGTAACAAGAATCCAACTTTGCATAGACGTCCTCAGAATCCAGTCAGTCACAGGGTTGCCCTTCCAAGCCGGTAGAAAGGAAACCCGATTTTAATTTCCAGCTATCCTGGAAAATAAGGGAAAAAACCCTAAAGTTTCTTCCTCGCCTCCTGCTCCTTCATATGCTTTTCCCGGACTTCCTTCCATGTATTTAAACTTGGAAATGGAAAACAGTTGTTGACCATAAAAGATGGAGGGGGTTTCCCCTTTTCCTTCCACTTCCTCCACCTCCCCAACCCCCCCTTTTTTCCAAGCTGAAACTTTTGCTTGCCGGGTGTCAAACTGCCAATACAATCCCCTAACGGCTACTTAAATGGAGAAATATGCGTCAACCGAAAATCAATGAGAAACGTACATGTTGCAAAGAGCCACATTTCCACCAGGGTCTCAGAAGGTCAGGACCGGACAACCCCCCTCAGACAAGGGGTGCAGAAAGCAGGGGATGCTGGCTGTGGAAGCCAGTAGGGCTCCCAGGGCATCCTGACCAATGCAAAGTCGTCTTCAATCTCAAAACAAGAACAGAAATCACATTTAGAGTCGGACGCGTTTGGCTTTTGTGCACAGAGCATGGCCAGCGATCGGCGGCCGCGGGCACTCAGAGGATCACGCAGGCCGAGCAGCAGCCCTCGTCGCCGTTGGGCTGCGCCGCATAGTTCATCTGCCGCACGATCTCGGCAAACAGCTCATCTACCGAGGCTTTGTTTTTGGCCGATGTCTCCATGAAGGGGCAGCTCCACTCCTCGGCCAGGGCCTTGCCCTCACCGTAGGAGACCTCGCGCTCGCCCTCCAGGTCCACCTTGTTCCCCACCAGGATCATGGGCACGCGCTCGTACCGCTTCACGCGGATGATCTGGTCCCGCATGGGCTTGATGTCCTGGAAGCTCTGCTGGTTCACGAGGCTGTAGACGAGGATGAAGCCCTGGCCGTTCTTGATGTACAGGTCCCGCATGGATGCAAACTGCTCGGTGCCCGCTGTGTCCAGGATCTCGAGCACCGACGGCGAGGAGTCCACCTCGATCTCCTTGCGGTAGAAATCCTCGATGGTCGGGTCGTACTTCTCGATGAAGGAGCCCGTCACGAACTGCACGGTGAGCGCGGACTTGCCCACGCCGCCCGAGCCCAGCACCACCACTTTGTACTCTCTCATGGCTCCGTCAGCGCTCTCCCCACGCCCGCCGCGGCCCCGTCGGGGCTGCGCGCCTGAGAAAGCTGAGCTTGGAGACCGGGCTGCTCCCCTTACTCACTCCGCAGGAAAAACCCAGGAGAGGGCGGCCCAGAAGAGCAAGGCGCAGCGATCACCACGCGGGACCCGGCGCGGGCGCGGGCGCGCGCGCTGGCTGGGGGCGGTGGTGAGCTCTCGGGGCGCTGGTCCGGGGCCCCGCGGCGACAACCCTGGCGGCGGGTCGGGAGGTAGGACAATGCCGGCAGCCCGCGCAAGACGACGGCTGGGGCTCCTCGCCGCCGCAGCCCAGGAGGTCGGGAGGCGGTGGCGGCGCGCTGCGGGGGCGGCTGCTAATTGCGCGCCCGGCCGGGCCACGCGTGGCGTGGATCCCCGCGGATCGTGCGGCCACCGCCTCGGCCCATAGCGCTCTCGCCGGCAGCCTCCGCGGGGCGAGGGCTTCCTACTCGCCGCGCGCAGCCCGGCCCTCCAGCCCCCTCCCCGCCCGCCGGGGCGAGCATGCCCAGTGCGCCGCGGCCGCGCCCCGCCCGAACTTCCGCTCCTGGTTTTCCGCTGGGTCGGGCGGGGGCGGGATGGTGGGCAGGGCTCGCGATTTGAGTCCGGAGGAGCGGAGACCGAAGTGCACCGAGTCTAGAACTGGATTTGGAGCCTGTGTGTGCGCCGCGAGTTGGGGCAGCTCAGACGGGAAGATGGGGTGCGTGCAGAGCGCGGCGGCTCCGCAGGACGGAGCGGTCACCAGAGCCGGGACGCTGCGTGGCTCCAGGCGGGTGTGTCTGCGGGCCGCAAGCCGCACCGGTCCCCACGCTCTGAACCTGTGCTGCCGAAGCGGTGCTCCGCCCTGGCTGGCCTGCTCAACTGCTGGGCACCCGCGGGACAAAGAAACCGAGAGGAACTCTGCCTGCGACACTGTCCCGAGTAGGGATGGAGTGGCCCCAGGTGCCCCGACCTCTTTCCTATGGGACGGGTCCTGTCCTCCTCCCCACGAGGCTTTGATCAAAACCCGGAAAGGCAGACGACTTCCCAATCCCGGAGTCTCGGGGTGCCTGCAGTCAGGGCATGCTCAAACTGCAGAGCAGCTTTTCGGGCTTGGAAGTAGGAAGCTTTTGCACCACCCACCCACACTCTGTCTCAAATTACCTCTCCCAGACTCTGAACTCATTGGTCCCAGGGTGCGAGTCTCACACCCCCAAGTGTCTCTACATTGGCTGCAGGCAAGGTTTTATCAGTTTGGGCTGCTTCATTGGCTGAAAAGTAGCCTCCGCTCGCGATTGGTTATTTATAGAGATTGAGTTGGGAGGCAAAGGCACAGCTGTTCTTTCTCCGCTGCTCCCCGCCCCCCTCCTCCCACTTCCCCAGCCCAGTCGTTTTGAAGCTAAGAGTGAAAAAAGAAGAGGAATTTAGGCGGAGAGCTCAGAACTAAATATAGTCCTTTGTTGGTGCTTTAGAGAGTCTGACTTCTCGGTGCCCAGTCACGACTGTCCCCTAAAGGGAGCAGCCAGGGCTGATTACAGTTCTTGGTCTGCAAAAAAACGCAGTTTCCACGTTTTTTTTTTCAAAGGTGGGGGAGGGCACCAGATGAGAAATGAACCGCTTGGCCCTCGTTTCACCTGGGAAAGTGAGGAGCAGTGTCCAGGCTTGCCTCTCAGGAAGTGTCTGCGCGGCTGGGCGGGTAGTCGCTAGGTTTGGCTTGCTTTTGCAAGAGGTGCGAGGGAGCTGCCTTGACTTGTTCAGAGTCTCCCTGATTCCCCAGGAGGGGAGATGTCAAGACCTGTCTGCAGACAGCCCTGGCAGCGTGAGCACCAAGTGGGTGGGGAGAGATCTGAGCGTTAACCCAGCTTCCCGTAACCTGTGCTTTACGTCTATTACTGCTGTCCTTGTCCTCATCTGAGGGATGAGGACCAAGGGCCCAGGGACGGACCCTGCGGTGTGCTGACACTGGGTTTCAGTTCCCAGTCCCACAGTGACTCATGGCAACGTTTATGAGCTATCCTCTTCAAACCTTTGACTAGCTCCCCAGCAGGAAGTGACCCAGGACGAAGTATTGGCAGGACTGGGGTTGCACCAGCGCAGTAAAAATTCTAATCTCTGTGCCTTGCCCTGCTTTTTATTTCAGGGAGGGCTTTTACCTTGACAATCAGAGTATTTGGATATCATTGTGCTTACGTAATTCTGCGAAAAATCTCCTAGAGACAAATTCTTTTGTATGTAGCTGGATGGATCCCTCACCAACCCTTACTCAGCTTTTTAGTGTCTGACAATATTATATTCATTTTACAGATAGGACCCCCCAAGCCCTAAAATGTTCCATAACTTGGGATTCCATAGCTAGAAAGTGAGAGAGCTTAGGTTCTGATCTAGAGTCTGGCCGTAGATCCTGGTCTCAGCAGTAACTGGACCAACCTGCTCACAAGAAAATTCCCAATTTTTACTCATTCTGAGGTTTAACCTATAGGTCAGACTGACTCTTAGACCCAAGTAAGAGGAACCTGTGCGTTTTACCAGCTTCTGGTTCTCCTCTGGAAGGGATCCTTCCCACAGCAGTAAGGTGGTGAACATGTAGCTGCTGAGCCAGCTTCTAAAGCACATGCCAGGTATTCTGAACTCTGGAAAGTGTGGCCCATTACATGGTGCCCAGCTCAGTTTCAGATCTGTGTGAGACTCTGAATTCAACCCTGTGTGCAAGAAATGGCTTTTTACTGCAGTGTGCACGTTTAGGTGTTTTAGTGTTTTGGAAGAAGTGTCAGTTGAGGTCAGTTGCTTCTTCCCTTATACATTCTACAATGCCTTGCAGAGATCCAAGAATTCCTGACTCACTTTTGTTGTCCAGGTTCCTGGAGAGAGATATTTCTTAAGATGGAAGGACAGATCATATTTTCAGTTTCTTATCTTGATTTGTAGCTCAAATACTAAGATAATGTTGTATGGGTCTGCATGTGTACTCTTACCATAAAGGTAGATCCTTATAGGTCTAATCTCAAGTATTGGGTATTAATTATTACCTTGGATCTTGTAAAAGTTCCTGCACTTAAGTTTCCCTCTGTTTAAAATGGTGATAATAAAAGTTGCCTTACTTACTTAGCTATATAAAGCCACTTGGCAAGAATCTAGTTACCAAAACCCTCATTTTAAAGCAAAAAAGGCCGAGCAGGATTAGAACTTGGGCTATACTCTCCATGGTGCCTTAAAGGTAATGGTTAGCAACTAATTGTGAGGCTCAGTGGCCCCTACCTACAGTCCCAGCACCTCAGTGGTTGAAGCAGGAAGATAAAGCATTGGAGGCCAGATTGGGAAACTAGTGAGATCTTGTCTCAATCAACTAACCAACCAACCAGCCAAACAACCAACCAAATGAAACATAAAGCTAATGGTTGGAAACCTGCTCTTAAAACTGTAGTCCCCAGACCCATGCTACCTGATAGCCCCCTCTAGAAGGGACCATCGGTGGGGCTTGAGTTAGCCACATGGGTGAATACTGCTGAAACTTGGCCTCTTCAGGACCAGAGAGGCAACACACTTTGAATTGTTTATACTATGAATTCTTCAATAAGGATATTTTTTACACTAGTATTATATTCTATAGAAAGATTTACCATGTTGTACTGGGATTAAAGATAAAGAACACTACTGACTTTAAGGCTGGTCACTTCTTCCAATGAAATACATTGGTAGATTTTTTTTAACCCCACTTACAGAATGGATCATAATTATTTACATAACTAAATCTGGTTCCCTAAACACTGTGTGAATTACTTGAGTCCTTGGTCCATGCCTGATGCATCTTTAGAGACTCCTCTGTCTTTCTCATTTACCACAGCAGGAGGTCTTTAATAAATATTTATTGATGAATATATGAATGTTATTTTATTCCTTTTCTGAATTCTATTTGTGACATATATCTGTACTGGGAGAGACATAATGTTTTCCAGATTTAAGGGGAAATATATAGTTAATATTTCAATTTCTCTGAGTCAAGATCCTAGGCCGGTGAAGGTCTACACTTATTTGAGTAGAAAATCTCAATTAGTGTTATCTTGGGAAAGACACCAAAACACCCTCCGAATAAGTGCTTTCTATGATGAAGGCAAAATATTTTCAGATAACATGAAGAAGCATTTCTGGAAAACAATCGAAGAGCTACAAGATAAGGACAGCTCAGCTTTCTGTGCAGGATGTTGTTAAAGAAGAGATCTGTCCTCCCTTCTGCTTTCGCAGAGGGATTGATGCACTCCTTTTAAGGGGCTAACGTTTGAAGAATGTTAGAATGTGTACCTTTTAAATCTTAAAAAAAAAAAGAAAGAAAAAGAAGAAAGAAAGAAAGAAACTAAAATACTCCTTGCTGGTCTTTCTCAGTTACATAAAGAAGAGATTGATTTCATCAGCGTTTGTACTATTAGGTAGTGTTACCTATAGGTAAACAAATATAGGCAAATTCTTCTAATTTTGGAAACACCAAGTGTAGCTTTGTAGTGGCTATGTAGCCTTATTTTATCTATTTATTTTTGTATGTATTTAGTACAGAGTCTCGCTACACATATCGGACTCCTAGTTATCCTCTAGTTTTCAGCCTCCCAAAACATGGGATTACAAGCGTGCACCACCACATCCAGTCTCATTCGCTGTCTCAGCGCACCCTGGTGGTGGGGCTGGCACAGCACAGGGGGGATTGAACCCTGGTCCCTGTGTCTGCCTGAACAGGCACTTTAGTCCACTAAGTTATCTAAGCAGACCCTTCAATTTAAGGTTTTATCAGTGATCCTTTTAAAGTAAGCTCCAGTAATCCCTCTAAACATATTTTGGACATTGACCAAAGCACTATTGTTTCATGCTATTCATACTGTTGAGAGGATATCTTGGATAGCCGACGCTGTACACATCACTTTAGCCTAGGACATACTCTTCATATTATGCTGTGAGCAGCCTTCTTGTAGGAGTGAGGACACGCGCCACCTCTAAAGATGCTTTGTATCTTCACATCTTAAAAAATGTCAGAAAACTCTAGCATGATAACTAAGGAGAGATAAAGATATGCCTAGCTTTTTAATTATTATCTGCCTGTATTGCTTGGACTCCAGGTTTATTTTTTTCTTTTAAGTATTTTTTTTAAGAAGCAAATCATTCTTATCTCCATATGGAAGTTATCCTGAGCTGCTGAAGTGTCATTCAAGCATAGTAAACTACCGACTAGGTTTGTGTTCCACCGTCAACTCTTATTAATGGTTTGGTACATCTTAGTTCTTTTACTGAATTGTAGAAAAAAAAAAAGACGAAGTCCCTCTTTTCTAAGATAAATGGTCTGACCTTTTCTCAGATTTACCTGACCTTGATCTGTAGTTAAAACAAAACAAATAGCTCAGTGGACTAAAGCATCTGCTTAAGCAGAGTGCAACAGCTGGGGTTCGATCCTGGAACATGCTGAGCTGGCAATTGAGACTGGGCTTGGTGGAGTGCACCTGTAATCCCAGCACTTGGGCT